GGTGGTACATACCGTGCAGGGGCCTGTCCTTCCATGATGGTTCCTCGTCTCCCTCCTCTTTCTTGGGTTTCTGCTGCCTGAGGTATTCACTGAGCACTTGGTCAGTTGGGGCCATCTTCCCAATGTATTCTTGGATGTTCGTTGTCTCATCCTGGACTGTGGTGCTGACACTCACCAGTCCCCGGCCCCCTTCCTTCCGCTTAGCGTACAGCCTCAGGGTGCTGGAGTTGGGGTGAAACCCTCCATGCATGGTAAGGAGCTTTCTTGTCTTTATGTCAGTGGCTTCTATCTCCTCCTTTGGCCAGCCTATTACCCCAGCAGGGTACCTGATCACGGGCAGGGCGTAAGTGTTGATGGCCCGGATCTTGTTCTTACCGTTTAGCTGACTCCTCAGGAGTTGCCTGACCCCCCTTAAAATCACTGAAGCCTCATTGGAAATGGTCTCTGTGGAGTGGCTGTCGAGGCATTCTTAAGGGAGGGGGAACTATTAAAACAAAAATGAGGGGTGCTGTATATAAAGTTGTCTTGATGTTCTCTTTTAAAAAAAAAAAACTAAACTAAATGTTCTAATCACTGTTAACAGAGTGAACAACACAAGCACCTCGATGACCTGATAAAGAATGGCATTGAAGAAGGAATGCAGGTAATGTTTACGTTTGTGCCACTACAAAACTCTGCATGCAGACACGATCCCTGAATGTTGGTTAAGCAACATTTGCTAATCCAGTGTACATTTTCACTGTGAACAGGTCAAAAACATAGACGGTAAGGGGAGAGGGGTATTCGCTGTGAGTGGTTTCAAAAGGGGAGATTTTGTCGTGGAGTATCACGGAGACCTGCTGGACCTGGCTGAAGCTAAAATCAGAGAGGCCCAGTACGCTGAGGATCCTCAAACAGGCTGTTACATGTACTACTTCCAGTATCAATCCAAAACTTACTGGTAAGTCCAAATGGCATCGCTCTGCAAGAGGTCTCACACCCGTGCACACAAACCTTCAAAGTATGTGAGATTAATCTTTAATCATCAGTTTTTTCAGTGTTTGCGTCTCACCATAGACCTGTATATATTCACCCTATGACTTTTTTTTTTTTTTTTTTTTAAATACTTTTTGTATCATTTTTGTCTTCCTGGAAATCACAAATTCTAGTTGTACATGTTTTTTTTTTTTTTTTTTTTTTTTTTTTAGAATCATAAAAACATGTCTGTTCTTTAGGATGAGTAATTATTTCTTTAATACAAAAAGCACTGTTATAAAATTTTATTCTAGCTGACATTTTGTTATGCGAAAGACATCTCCTAGAATTAGAAACAAAAGTTTAATAGCTGTGATTTTAGTATGGACACCTGTCTTGTGTTGTAACAGGCATGTCTGTATCTATGTATCACAGTGTTGATGCCACAAAGGAAACGAGTCGGCTCGGTAGGCTGATTAACCACTGTAAAACTGGAAACTGCCAGACGAGGCTTCACCCCATCGATGGAACGCCTCACCTGATCTTGGTCGCCTCCAGAGACATCAATGCAGGCGAGGAGCTGCTTTATGATTATGGCGATCGGAGTAAAGCCTCAATCCTTGCTCACCCATGGCTCAAACACTGAGAACTTGACCTTTTTTTTTATATATACATATATGAATTTGTCCCGTCTGCTGTCCAGTTTCTTTATGGAAAAAGACTTGAGACTTGAAATGTTTTATTTTGTATAGATGCTAAAACTTCAGCTGGTGAAGTATATTTTTGCAAAATTTTATCAGGATTTTATATCTTTACGAAATGTAGCAGTCATTTTCTTTGAGAAGCAGGTTTGCACTGTGAACGGGGTTTCCTTTAGTAATTGTCATTCTAACTTTTGTAAATTATTACATGTGTTGTAAATTGAGGAATAAAGCGGTCTTCGCCTGCCGTGACATGATTGGTGGTGCATTCGATGATTAAATAAGGGACACATCTACTATCCTCCAGGTGGGACAGACCATATCGTGCATCGGGGGTTTCAAACATAAGGCCAGGAGCCTGAATTGGCCTGGCGAAGACTCCAATGTGACCCATTGGATGGCTTTTTCAAACATTGTGAATTTATTTATTTTTTTTAACTTTTAACTATATTTTCACAGGTTTTACAGCCTGGGCCATTCACAGCACACTAAAGTAATTAAATGATAGATTTCTGTGATATTTTTTTTTTTTTTTTTTTTTTTTTTAAATTTTAATTTTTTTAACACTTCTTTCAAATTAAGCCCAAAGAGTCATGTTGGCAGATTTCTTTCACTTACTACAGCAGTGTTTCTTCTCCATGAGACCTTCTGTTGAAATTGCAAAGTGACGGTACATTATGAATTGTTCTGTTATAGCCCAGCCACTACTGTGATCACAGTGATGATATTTAACATTTAGAGCCACTTAATTATGGGCTAGTTCCCATATGCAACACACTTGCTTCATTCATACAATGAACACATTGGAGAACAACTCCGCTGAACAACTCCAGTCTCTAGCCATGCAGTCTGGAGCGCCATTGGTGACCTGTTCCACCTCCTGCGCTACTGTCACCTCAAAATTAAACTCACAACATGATGCAGTGTGATGCATTTTTATTAAAATCTTAAATAGTAGAAGGCTAAAAGTGAAATTACTCTGTCATCTTTAATAACTTAAAACAACATGAGTACAAATAACTGTCTATATTTCACCTAATACCGGTATAATAAACACTACATCTGTGCCTCTTCCCTCCTTTTTAAATCGCCTAATTCCTACATTTATTTTAGCAATTGAAACATCCGTCAACATAGCGTACTGAAATTGATGTCCAGGTCAGAGGCAGGAGGATGTAGGAGAGGAGGGCACAAGGAAATAAAAGCCCATGTAGAGGGGCTTGTATCCAGCAATGTCCCCAGCAGATACTGAACTCTAAATACTATGTTGCATGGTCCCTCCATGTTATGTCCACACATTCTTTAGTGCAGTTAGGAGATAAAAGCAAAATTTGCTACAAAATTTCTTTAAAACTTACCTGACGAGGCTTTAAGAGTGAAAGTAGGAATATTTCCACACATGCAGCTAGCACTTGGGATTGGGTTAAACAAGTATGTAGCGTTAAGGAAGCCATTTATCAGTGAGGCTAATTGGGGGAAAAAGGGTTCATTTGTTAGGAAGCAAGAAAATGGGACCCTGCAGCAATGAAAAAGGTCATGTGGTCCGAAGGGTGCAGATTTACTCCGTTCCAGAGTGATGGGCATCTTAGGATAAGAAGAGAGGGGATGATGTGATGTAGCCGTCAAGCCTACAGTACGAGCCTGCGGGAGCAGTGTTACAATGTGGTGGTTGGTGACTAATCTAAATATACTGAGTGACCAGGTTTTTCCATCAAGGCATGAACTGAACTGTCAACAAAGCTAAAGACAGTTCAGTGAAATATGAGAGTGGGTTACCTTTTTCTCCCGCCTACCCTTCTTCACACAAAACAGAAGTCAACGAGAAGACTTCAGTAAGAACAAAGCCTTGTAATCTGCTGATTAAAGCCTGTAAATTTATGCTGTAATTTGTGTATTAGCAATATTTTTGGCATCTGGCTAAAATATGATAAAACAAAAGCTTTTTAAATATTCAACTTGAGACAAAACACAAGTACAATCAAATTTATTATTAGATTTTGATTGGGTATTTTACCTTCATTGACAACAGAGATGAGTGATGGGAATGTGCCTATATAAAGACCTTATCGTGGCTCATTAAAAAAAAAAAAAAGGGAAAAAAAAGCTGATGTTCAAGTTTATAAACTTGAACAAATAACATGATCATCACTTGTTAAATAATACTTTCCAGTTTCCTTTCCATATCTTATTTTTTACAGAATTAAAAGATGTCTACGCTAAAAACATCTTAGGTTAAAAATAAGTACAAAATATAATGCTTATTAAAACTGACAAATACTTCTTAAAAAAGTACAAAAGGAGTTTAATTGTGCCGACAAATCCTGTTTGTCTCCTACATGGTCAGTTCCCCGTGAAAGCTTTTCTTCTCATTTTCGCCTGAATGAAAACCTACAAACAGAAAGGTCAGAGTTAGCTGAAGGAGCGCTGGTGAACATGGAGCACGCAAACAACGCTGCATCACGGGAGGCTGTGATTACTGACGGAAGCATTTTGGCAGAGGCGTACTCTCTCTCTGCGTCTCGTTCACTGCTCAGACAAACATCCTGAGCGTCAGCATGAATTCACCCAGTCACAAGTATATCATTAGGAGACAGGAGACGGGCTGTGAGAACAATCTCCCTGCTAGCTTATTACAGCATCATGTGGTTGCTGCTCAGAATTCTTCTGAATCCTTTCCATTTGAGGTGCACGGCTTAAAACAAGACCTACTGTTACTTCCTTTTTTCCGCTTTCTTTATATTATTTTTAGTCATCTGCAAATACTTTTGTTGGTGAACCGAGCCAGCTTGTTACTCACAGTTTGCCTATGGTCGTCTTCTCTTCTTTCGTGTCGTTTATCATGGCTGGTCTGTGCTCTGTAGCTGCCGGTGTCTCCACCTGCCATGGTGGAGATGGAGACACCTCCACCATGGATGGTTCAGCTTGTGGCAGGATCCCACTGCAGGAGAACGGGGATATTTATGATCACTAAGAGTATTTTATAAGACAGGCTAACATTTCATTTTATGAGACGTGATCGATCTTGTTGCTTTAAAATGACAACAAATAAAAAAAACATGATGCAATTGACAATGAAATGTGAGGCTTCTATAATATGCATATATCTCTTTGCATTCATTGGCTAATTGTGGTTCTTATATTTGTGCGCTCAATGTTATAATTACATAGTCACATTCACTCATTGGCACTTTATTAGGTACACCTGTTCAAATGCTTTTTAACAAAAATATCTAATCAGCCAATCACATAGAAGCAGCACAATAGATTCATGCACGTAGACCTGGTCAAGAAGAGGTGCTGAACTTTAAACCAAACATCAGAACAGAGATGAAAGGTGGTTTAAGTGACTTTGAAAGTAGCATGGGGGTCAAACTAGACATGCTAGTCTGAGTATGTCATAAACTGCTGATCTACTGGGATTTCCTCACATGACCATCTCTATGGTTTACAGAGGCTAGCCTTATAAAGACCAGCTCAGATCAGAAACTGAGGCTCAAATTCACACGGTCTCACCAAAATTAGACAACAGAACATTAGAAAAATGGTGCCTGGTCTGAGGAATCTCGAGTTCTACTGCAATGGTAGGGTCAGAATTTGCCATAAAACAAGATGAAAACACAGCTCAATTCCGCCTTGTTTGAATGGTTCAGGCATGTGGTGGTGGTCATGGTATACTGATGCGGAGGACATTTTCTTGACACACTTTCGGCTTCTTTGTACCAACTGAGCATCGTAGAAACCATCTACCTGATCTTTATGACTACTGTGTACCCATCCTCAGATGGCCGCTTCCATAACAGACCATGTCACAAAGCTCAGAGCATCTCAAACTGGTGTCTTGAACATGATAGTGAATGTGGTGGAACAGGAGATTAACATGGATGTGCAGCCCACAAGTCTGCAGCAATGGTGTGATGCTGTCATGTCAACATAGATCAAAATCTGAGGAATGTTTCCAGCTCCTTGCTGAATCTGTGCCACAAAGAATTAAAGGTTTGAAGGCAAAAGGTGGTCCAACCTACTACTAGCACACTAGCAAGTTGTACCTAATAGAGTGGCTGATCATTGTATGTATTTACCCATGGACTCAGTGTAATTCCAGTTGAAACTGATATGAGATTCAAGTCAGTCTGACATAGCATTATACAGCAGCCCATCAATAAATCCTCTTACAAGCGTACAGTCTTCAGGTGTATTGACACTGAGCTGGTGCATTAGCTACATGTTTCTGATATAAATATTTTATGTACATTATTTTATGTACTCTTAGAAGCCAGAGTGAACTTTACATTTCACACCGTTTCATACCTCTTGTACAGCTGAAGCTCCTCCTGGGCCACCATGAGCTGAGCCTTCAGCTGGTTCCTCTCTTGCAGCACCTCCTTCAGCTCCTGCATAGTGAATCGGGGTCTGTTGGGGTCTGTCAGGTCCACCACCAGCTGGTTCGGTCCCGAAGTCTGCTATGATTAAAGGAACAAAAAGCCATATTTAAAGGTCTACTTCTATCTGACAAGAGCCTGAACTATAGAGCACCAAACTCACCGCGCCAGGCCTGGAGGAGCCCTCCTTGATGATCCTATCCAGTTCGCTCTTGAGGTTGTCCCGCTCCATTTTCAGCTCCTCCAGAGACAAGTTGTACTTGTTGACCAAAGTCTCAAACATTTCCAACACACGGACTATCCTAAACTGTAGGTCTGACACTTCTTCGCCAGTGCTGCTGATTTTTAACAGATCTCTTCCGATTACGTACGAGATATCATACACATCTTCCACAGTGAGCTCGAAAGCGTCCTTCTCGAAAGCCCGAGCTGGTGACGATTCCTCACCAAACTCCATGACTCAGCGGGACGACCGAAATAAATTCGACTTTTTTTCCCCCGGATGCCACTCATAAGTCTTTAAACCCAACTCTTTCTCCCTCTTTCTCGACTTCGGCTCAATACTCGTACAGAGCGAAGGTGGCTAACTTTAGAGAAGCAGCACTTCCCCCATCACTCACGCACCAATGGCGTGACTCGTCGGACAGCAGAGGAGGGCAAAGTATCCTAGCGACAGGTGAGTACAAAGATCGTGTACAAGTCAAGAGCGCTCACTCGGCTCTGGCCATCCGCCAGATCATAGATCGTCGGTTTGTAAGGAAAATAATGCAGTTTGTGAGTGAGAGATCACTCTTCATATAGTCTCTCTGAACTTCTCTCAATCAAATCAGGTGAGAAAACACGTGATTTCATGTGTTTTGTTTTAGTGGCCCTGGTTAGCTGACTAACTACAGTAAAACAAAAGGTTTGGGAGAAAAATATCCTAAATGTAATCTTTTAGATTGAAATTTGATGACTTTTCCGAAAATGACACAAAATAAACAAAAAATACAAATATTTTCTTACATTTTTTTTTGTTGCCATTTTTACATTTAATAAAATATATTTTAATTATTGACTGTTATGTTTGTATACAAAAAAAGGGTCATAATACTGTGTGATTGTTTATGTTTTTGTCCACAAATGAGAGTTTGTAATACCCATAAAATGCACTTCCACTGCTCTGTGAATCATTAATTCAGCATTAATGTGTCTGGATATGTTTTTAATGGTCAAATGGTATTCTATGCATAACAACAGGAGCTCTTTTCCCTAGCTATTCCCTTTTCAGTTTTGCCTTTTTTCTGCTTGCTTATTTTGCAAAATTAAGGAAGATATTTTTTAAAAAGAGCAAAATATCGACTGTGCTTCATAGTGACACCAAAACAAAATTCAAAAGTTTAAAAATAAAACTTTATTACTTTATCTCAAACAAACATTATTTTCCCTGTGCATCCTGGCACATACCAGTAGTTATGATAGTATTTATAGAGTATTCATTAGTGATGGAATATACTTCTCCTGGAGATTAAGACTTGCCAGTGTACACCACGATGTTTGGTGCCAGGCTGTAGTGATTAGCAGAAGCGCACTCTCTTCATGGTGAGCTCATAGAATAAAGGCACTTCAACTTTCATGATCATGTGCTTACTTTGCCATCAGATGCATCTCAACATGAACCAAAGAAGACATTCAGTTTATAGGCTCAACAATACTCTGTATATGTGTATATGTATTTGGAGCCATGCAATAAGAACCTTAAATGCTAATATAAAGCGTCTGACATGTGCAGCATCAAAAGTCTCCCTCAGTATATCTACACAAAGCAAAGCACTTACAGGTGGTGACTTTCCAAAGACATAAAATATGACTGTGACAGGTCATAAAAACACCCAAGAAGGTCCAGGTATGGCCATTTGCCTCACATTTTAACTGCTGAAGTTTATGTAAAGCTCAAAGTAGCAAAAATAAAAACAAGAAGTATCATAAAAATAAACATCAATTCCTTAAATCGCCACATTTTTAAATGTAAAAACACAAGATGGGTTTAGTTTTTAATAATTAAGGATCGGAGCCATTAAACCCAGGCGTGTCGGTCAGAAAACTCGTGCTGAGATGGTGTGGTTTAAAAAAAAAAAAAAAAAGTCATACGAAGGAAAGTCTTCTGATTGGCAACAACGTTGGATCGTCTGTAATCAAACCGGCAGCCACCATTGGCATAATAGCTGTGAAGATCCTGTCCAGACAAGAAAAGAGAGAAAACACATCATATGTAAAGACTATGTGAGATCAGTATTACTGAGTCACGTATTATTAGGCCATGTTATCCTACACAGGAGCAGAGTGCTGATATTTCAAATAACAGCAGTAAGAAAACCATCACAAACAAACTCATCGCTCACAAGCGTCTTATTCCTGATTCACGTTGATCAGCCACAGGTAAGCTCGGAGGAGGAGACGGAGAGGAGACAGTGGAGCCGGTGTTCTCCTCAGTGTTCAGCTCATCACTGAAGGATAAGGAGGAGGTCAATGTCAGCTTTTGTATCCGCGCCAAGTCAAATTTTATGCCTGTGAAGGAAGTCGTACCTTTTATAGTATGCCAGCTCCTCCTGCAGCAGGAACACCTGAGCTTTGAGTTCATTCTTCTCCTGCAGGACGTCCCGCAGCTCCTGCAGGGTGAAGCGAGGCTTGTCCGAGTCCTCCTCTGGCTCTTCATCGGTCGATCCGTTCTGCATTCAAAACAAATATTCATTCTTTCTACTGCACAGCTTAAAAACACAGATACTATAAAATGAAAGAGGTTGGTTATGCTGTTGAAGTGAAACTGGTTTTCTCTGGCAATGTACAACAGAGAAAGGAAAAACAAAATTTTAACCACGAGTCGCCGTTCTTGTGCATTTAACAAAAAAAAGTCATGTCTGACAGATGTTCATCGCCTTAACAAAACACTACATGACAAAGTTCGTCTGAATCTGCCTCCGCTGACCTGTCTAATGTCTCTGGCATTGTGATATGAGCATTAACAATAACATCAGTCCAGTGAATGTCATGGTGTTATGGCAGATTAGCTAAACGGTGAAACAATCTTCTCCCAGCTGTGCATCACTTCAGGCATATTTAAACATCCAGCACTTGATCATTTTCAGCACCAATGAGGTGTAGCTAGTAATAAAGTGTGGACAAACTATTTTTAACTTGCTCCACCCTTAAAACTGTGGCAATACCAGTCCTGGCATGGCTACGCACACCTCATTATCCCACGGCAGCATCAACAAACTACAGATCCATCCATTTCTGCTGCTTATCTGGGGTCGGGTTGTGAAGACATCTGCCTATGCAGGGAAGTCCAGACCTCCCTCTTCCCAGTCATCTCCTCCAGCTCATCCAGGGGATACCAAGGTATTTCCAAGCCAGTTGAGGGAAGTAATCTCTCCAGCCTGTCCTGGGTCTACCTCGAGGCCTCCTCCCAGTAGGACATGCCTGGAACACCTCGCCCACAGTCGATCCCAGTTGGATACTGAACCACCTCAACTGGCTTCCTTTGAGAAAGGCCAGCCACCCTTCTGAGGAAGCTCATTTCCACTGCTTATATCCACCATCTCATTCTTTTGATCACTACCCAAAGCTGTGTGACCACAGGTGAGGGTGGGGACGTAGATCAAATTGACAGCTTTGTGATCTTTTCACCCAAACACACTCAAAGCACCAATCTGTCTGACGATCTCCACTCTCCCCTCACTCATGAACAAGACCCCGAGATACTTTAACTCCACCAATAGGGGCAGCATCTCATCCCTGACCCACTGCTCTCACTCTCGCTGCCTCACACTCAGCTTCGAACCACTTCAGTGTGAGCTGGAGGCCAGCACATATAGAGGGAACAGATCATGGTTCCATGGATCTGTGGTTCACTGGAGTCCCAAAAAACTGGTCTCCTAGTTTCACCCTATGACTTAACCCTGGTCCTTCATGTCCCACCTGCAGTGGCTCTGTGCCCCAGCATTGGGCCCACCCCACAGTTTGAGAACCACTGACCTGAAGTTAAATTAGATTAAACCAGATACATCTGTGAGTAGTGAGATTAAAGATGGTACCAGCTGATTGCTGTGCCTCACTATGACAAGGTGATAACGACTATTTAGTGTAAACAGTCTTATAGCAGCTCTGCTATAACACAACACAGCAGCACTGGCTAAATAGTAAAGTGTACGTGGACATTACCAGCAACAATGTTGTTGAGTTCTCCTCTTCATCTCCGTCTTCCTTGTTATCCTCTCTGTTTGCTGACTTTCGGACAAAGGAAAGACTCTTGTCGCACTCGAAACAGTTTTCCAGAAAGTCTGGATCTCCCCCACACTCCACCCACACTGAATTTGGTTTGAAGGAGCTAGAAAGGTGAGCTGCTGCTGCAGACTAGATTTGTGACACATAAAAGCCACTTAGGCAAAAAACAAAAAACAAAACAAAAAACCCACCCACAAATAGTTTGAACATCTGCTAAATATCAGGTATTTTTTCTTACAGTCATCAGTGGGGATGCAGGTGAAGAAATCTCAGAATTTGACAGAGGCAACTCTTCTATCTGAGCGACTTCTGTCTCTCGCTCCAGCTCCCGCAGCTCCTTTTTCAGCCTGGTGACCTCCAGCCGCAGAGCCCCCGCTTCCTGGTGTTGTGCCTGGGCTGCAGCTTCCAGCTCAGCCCTCTGCTGAATCAGGGTCTTGCCCTGAGCCTCCATCAGTCCTATCCTGTGAAGAAGCTCCTGGTTCATCCTTATCAGCCGATGCTGCTGCAGCTGGAGCTGAAGTTCAGAGAATTTGCTTCATGAATTCTAGTAAAACAAAGTTGTTGTTTTTTGTTTTATATTACATATATTCTTAGATGCAAGTATTATGAATCCTCACCGCCTCGATATCCTCATTTTTCAGCGTCAGCTCATGATCTTTAGCCCGGATGTCGTCTCTCTGTTTATCCACCAAGTCTTGAAGTTTCTTCATCACTTGTTTTTCTTTCTCTGACATTCCTGCTGTAATCCAAATAAATTAATTAATGCTCACAGAAGGGTTACATAAGCATTCAAATAAGCACAGTAAAATAGGTTTTCAAGAAATCAAAACAGAGGGAAATCCTGCACACGGGCAGATTTTGCACTAAAAACCTTTACCAGCATGAAACTGAACAGCACTACAATCACATTTAAAGAGTTACGAATCCACAGGAATATTTTTCAGTATGTCACGGATGCACTGTGTACTGTAAATCCTCCAGGTAAACACCAGGGTCACAGTCATTTGTTTTAAACAGCAAACGCCTAAAAATATTAAATGACACAATTTCCATGGTGTACACCTTCCTAATTTGGTGTATTAATACACAAAATAAAAGAGTCCAAAAGATTTATAAAAATATTTAACTTTTCAATTTAAAGTAAAATATGATAGGTTATTTTCCCAAAACATAGAAACTTTCACAAATGTTCAAAGCCTGGTTATATTTAGGCTTTGAGATTCAAGAAAATAAAGCACCATGGATGTATATGTTTGAGACAGATAAGGTGTCAGTGGCCAGAGGAGTCATGTCATGTAATATCCTGTTGTTTGTGTGCTTATAACCAGGGCATGTGCTGCAGCCCTGACAGTAAGTATAAAAGCACTTCCACACAGAGCAATATTTTAGTCAGATTCAAAAATAGACTTCTTCACAAGCTCCCGGCTTTCTCTCTGCACAGCCGCATGCACAGGGTGGCTGTGTGTAACATACAGCAGACTGTTATGAGTATGAAACACATTTCAGATTTTCAGCCAAGACTGATCTAATTAAGAGTCAGAGCAGAATTATTACAGTCTTTTATTTATTTATTTATTTTGTAATAACATTTGAGTTTTTATTTTCAGTTCAGTTTAGTTTCAACCAGTTTGCACAGTGGAGTTTCTCATGTTGGATGTTAGTTTTTTTGTACATTTCTTCTACTTATCCAAATCAGGGTCACAAGGGGGGTTTCGGGGCTGGAGCCTATCCTAGCTACACCCTGGACACGTTGCCAGCCTGTCGCAGGACTAAGACATAGAGACAGACAACCATTCGCACTCACATTCACACCTATGGACAATGTGGAATCATTATTTAACATAAGCCCACTAACTGCATGTCTTTGGATTGTGGGAGGAAACCAGAGTACCCAGAAAGAACCAACAAAGACACAGGGAGGAAAAGGTCAGATGCTGGATTTGAATCCAGGATCTTCTTGTTGTAAGAAAAAAGGCTAACCACTCACAGATCTTTGTTGTAATAGTCCTGACTGCACTGAATCATACTTGTTATTAATCTCTGTCTCTCTTCCACAGCATGTCTTTTATCCTGTCTTCCTTGTCTCACCCCAACTGGTTGCGGCAGATGGCCGCCCCACCCTGGAGCTGGTTCTGCCGGAGGTTTCCATTCCCACTGTCGCCAAAGTGTTTGCTCACAGGGGTCATATGATTGTTGGGTTTTTCTCTGTATGCATTATTGTAGGGTTTACCTTACAATATCAAGCGCCTTGAAGCAACTGTTGTTGTGATTTGGCGCTGTATAAATAAAATTGAATTGAATTGAATTGATCATATTGACATGACAGCATCACACAGTTGCTGCAAATTTGTCAGCTGCACATCAATGATGTGACTCTCCAATTCCACCACATCCAAAGGTTCTCTGTTTGACTGAGATGGGGTGACTATTTTAAGACCTGTCCATAAAGAGATGGATACGGTCAGCAAGAGCACTCGGGTAGACTGTGGGGTTTAAGGAAGCAGGAAACGTTTTTCTAATCTTCTGTTGTCCAGTTTTGAGGAGCCTGTGAAGCAGTTTTCTAATCTTAGCTGACAGGAGTGGCACCCAGTGTGGTCTTCTGCTTCTGTTACCCATCCGTTGTAACCTTTGTTGTAACTCGTGGTTATTTGAGTTACTGCTGCCTTTCTCACAGCCTGAAGCAGTGTGGTTTTTTGCTTCCGACCTCTGTTATCAACAAAACATTTTCACCCCCCGCTCACTGTATATTTTCTCTGTTTGAACAATTCTCTGTAAACCCTAGAAATGGTTGCCTGAAGAAAAAAATCACAGCAGATCAGCAATTTGTGAAATACTAACACAATCCATCTAGCAGCGACAACCATGCCATGTTCAGAGTCACTTAGATCACTTTTCTTCTCTATTTTGATGCTTGATTTGAACTATAGCAGGCCATCTTGACCATGACTACGAGCATACATCCCTTGAGTTTTCCACCAAGATGTAACACACCAACTGTTTTCTTATTCAAGGTTTGTGTATTAAACCCTGGCCGAGAGCTTTTTGGTAATCAACTCACCTTCATGTTTCTGCAGGTCTTCCTCTGTGACCGGTGTCTCTTTAAGTGAGAGGCTCACCAGCAGCCTCTTGTTCTCCGCCTGAAGCTGAGTGATTTGAGAAAGCAGGTCCTGGACTTCTCCTCTCCACACATCCTCCAGCAACTCCAACTCCTGAGCACAAAAAGGAGGAAACTTCAAATGGAGTACTGAACCCATTAATACTATATATGGAAAAAAGGAAGCAAGGGGCATATTAGATTTTTTTTCTTTTATCAAAAGAGATCATCCCTTACTTTATGAGGATGGATCAAACCTATCACACTCTGTGCTCCACACAAGCAGTGAATCAAAATAAAGTCTAATTTGCATCTAAATGTAGAAATAAGAAAAGGCTTTTTAGTCCTGATTCACCGTAAATATCCTGAGACTGAATAGAAATGACCAAGAACTGGTAACTAATCACAAGAAAACTCAGCTTTTGTGCATCCAGTGCTAGAAGCTGAGAAAAAACAGTGTGAAAATTAGAGTGTGTGCTTGTGTTAGCTCTGAGAGGCACTGGCCACCTGTCCATGCTGTTTCACGCCACTTGTTCAAAGAGGGGATAGACTCTAGCAGCCACATGACCATAAAATAAGGTTACAGGGTCAGATGTGTGTGTACCATTTTTCCATGTTTTAGATCGAGCAGTTTTAACATTACATGAAGATAACATCTTCCTCGCGATGTTCTGATAGAGAGCAGAATTCATGGATCCATTAATTAAGGCAAGTCGTCCTGAAGCATCAAAGCAGCCCCAGACCATCACACTACCACCACCATTTCTGATTAAAATGCTGTGTAAGTTTAACATAGGATGTAATGGGAAGCAAACCTTTCAAAAGGTTCAGCTTTTGTCTCGTCAATCCACAGAATTTTATAAACATATTTATTTATTTTTTGGAAATGTGAGTCAAGACTTAGTTTTCTTTATGCACAGGAATGGTTTTTGCCTTAGAGCTCTCCCACGGATGCCACTTTTGCCCAGTCTCTTTCTTACTGGAATCATGAACTCTGATCTTAACTGAGGTAAGTGAGACCTGGAGTTCTGTAGATGTTGTTCTGAGTTCTTTTGTGACCTCCTGGATGAGTCGTTGACACACTCTTGGAGTCATTTTGGCAGGCTGGTCACTTCTGCAAAGGTTCAGCACTGCTCCAAGTCTTCTCTATTTTCTGTATAATGGCTCTCATTGTGTTTTACTGGAGTCCCAAAGCCTTACAAAAGGAATTGTAGCCCTTTACAGAATGATAGACATCAGTAACTTTCTTTCTCAGCTGTTTCGTTGAATCGTGGCATGACGTGTTGCTTCTTCACTTTGTCAGACAGACTGTGATTTCCTGATTCAACAGGTCTAACAGTAATCAGTCCTGGGTGTGGCTGGAAACAGAACTCAGCTTTAACTATCAGTAACCACAAAAAATGTGGTTAATGATAGTTAATTACGGGGTGGGGGAAAGAGAGTTTTTACTTTAACACACATGGCCAGGTAAGTTTGGAAAACTTTTTTCCCCTTAAAAAATGAATTCATCATTTTAAAAACTCAGGTTTTACACACACACACACTCTGATGGTTGCATCGTGGGACTCCATTTCAGCAGTGATTCCAGATTTGCTTTTTGATCATTGGAGAGTTGCTTAAAAAATGATTATGTATTTAGGTACTGGTTACACCTGCATCAGGAAATGATAGAAGTGAGAGAACAAAAACAAAACCTCTTTGGCCTGCAGCAACACTGAAGGCAACAAAATTAATTTTCTTGTCACTGAAAATGTAAGTAATTTTCTCAACCCTTTAAAAAAAAATTGCGTATCTGCCACCGCTTCTTTCATGAAAACAAATTATTATCTCAGATGGGCTGATTTCTTGTAAATCTGAGAGTTATTTGTGTAAACTGTGCAGCTAATGGCTCTAATCCACAGCTAAAATAAATGAAATATTGTGCTGGATAAGGCCAGCTGCACATCTGGTTTATTGCTCCCAAAATCTGTACTTAAAATACTCAAACATACACAACATATGTCTTAAAAGTCCGGTCTTGTTATTATACATGATAGGAGGTTGTTTGATTCATTAGACAGTGTGCTATAAAGCAGTTATGTAATGGATGTGAAATGGTCATTCTACTGCAGCAATCTAATGTGAAATAATACAAACAGTGCTCAAAGCAACTCATTAAATGCTTCAGCCACTACCTGAATATAGTTATTATAGTTTTATTTTTTCATTAGTTTCCAGAGATAACTTTCTTGTATCATTTTAGTTAGTATTGTTTGAAAATACTTAGCTTTAGTTTAGTTTTTATTAGTTTCAGTATTTGTTTTGGTCTTTTTAATTTTTTATTGTGTGCAGAGCATGTGCCACAGACTATATTTAGGAAAAATCAGTACAAGTGTTTAAAAGCAGCTGACTCACAGTCCAGACACTAAAATCAAAGCCTCGTCCGGCAAGCTGTAATAATATTTAATCTCTATGCTTATTTTAGTTTAGTTTTCCAAGTTCACAAAATTGTTCCAGTTAGTTTTTCCCTTTTTTGTATTTCTAGTTTTTATTTTAGAAATTACAATATTTTTTCCACATCTAGTTTTAGTTAACTACAATAACCTATGACTGAAGGAAAATACACAAATGATAGCATCAATAGGCATCCACAAACATTTTGTAGCTGTATTTTCTCCACTTTATTCTGTTTTTCCACACTAAAAGCTGAATTATAAAATGTGAAATGTGCTGATATCTTTTTTGCTCACCTGACACAAGGCCTCATAAACAGGTACACACACAGGTGGAAGTAGAAACAGGTGTCTGCAGTGAGGTTGACACTGACCTTCTGGTGCTTCCTCTCCTGCTCGTGTCTGTCGCGCCGCTCCTGCCGCAGTCTGTCAAGCTCCCTGCGCAGGTCCTCGGCCTCCTGCCCGGTGGCTCCGCGGCTCACCAGCGCCTCCAGTAGCTCCAGGACCCGAACCACTCGGGGCACCAATGCGACGAGAGCGTCGCAGCCAAACTTGTCTATCATCCGCTCAAACTCCTGCCCTAGCACCGCCGCTATCTCATACACGTCCACAACCGTGAGCACCGCCGCGGGTTTGTCCAGCACCGACACAGCCCGGTTCTCCATGCCTGAGCTCAGTTTTATCTACACCGCAGCACTTTTACACATTTTCATGTCCTCTCACTCTCCGAGAGGACTAATTTGCAGATAGACGAGTTTACCTAAGCAAACAGGAGCCAGAGCGAGAACGCAGCTTGTTGACAGTTAAAACTTTCTCCTGAGCCTCGGATGCCGCGTTCACATACTCGCGAAAAGTCGTAAATGTCCTCATCCGCGGTAAAACGTGACATTTTTGCATGTTATCAGATGTAAAACAGAGACATGACGAAATACGAAGGAAAACGTGTAACTACCCCCTTTCATTTTTTTTAAAGGACCGGTGATTATTGGAAGTAAAATAATGTTGGCGATACTTAGAGTCGTGCATGATGAAACAGCAGTTCGTTGGGTGTTTAAACAAATATCAGTGCTTTTTTTTTTTTTTTTTTTTTTTTTTTTTTTTTTTTTAGCTCACGCTAAGTAAAAAAAACTGAAAGAAACGCATACTCCTTTGTTCCAGCGGTTCAACGTGTGATTTCAAGACGCTGGTCATATTTAAAATTGTCTGTGAAGGCAGCAATCCTCGTTGTCTCCAGGCCGAACTGCGCATGTCAAAATATCAGTAACTCGTTACCTTTTATGCTCCTAATGTAGGCTCTAAAATATCCCGGCCGTACGTGGCGCCTTAGCGACAAGCAGAAAATAATAAGCAGTACAGCAAAATACATAAAAACAAATAAAAGTTAAATGAAAATATTTATTAAAATATCGCCAGTGTCACTGATATATGTTGTGGTAACAATGCATGGTTCATATGTTTCAGTGTTCAGTGTTATTTTTTAATTGTCTGAAATAGTCATTAATAATTTGAAATCGTGTATTATTATTATTGTTGTTGTTGTTGTTATTGTAAATTGTCTGGTAAGTTTTGCAAAATTCATATATATAAAATGCACAAAAGGCTGCAATTAAAACGGTTCTTGTTAGAAATGTTCTTTTGAACCTCTTCTTTGTGGTATCAAGCTCATGCGTATTGACATCGTTACAAATGTCCATTATTCAGTATTAAGCAGGGCGTGCTGAATGTACTGGTTTTTTTTTGTTGGTTTTTTTTTTTTTTGTATCTTTATTCAATAGAAAGTACGACGTTTGAAGTACACAGATACATTAACCATTACATAGCCATTGACAGGGCAGTAATTCATTTTTACTCATGTAGACCTTCTGAGGTTTAAATTGACCATCAGAATGAGGAAGAAAGGTGGTTTAAGTGATTTTAAACGTGGCATGGTTCTTGGTGGCAGAGAGGCTGGTCTGAGTATTTCAGAACCTGCTGGGATTTTCCCCACAACGTTATGGCATGGGCATGTGTGACTGCCAGTGGAAGTGGGTCACTAGTGGTTGCTATCGATGTGACTGCTGTACACTCCGCTCTGATTCAGCCAAATATTGAAAACTGATCAGACAGCATTGGACAATGCAAGTAGATATGACACGGCCCAATCCATACTGACAAAGGAACCAAATTTTTTGTGAAGGGAAAGAAATCACCTGATCGACCAGCTTTTCAGTTATTACAAACAAAACTGAGGGCAAAGAGAGACCCACAAGCAGTAACTGGCGGCGTCTGCAGTTATGGCCTAGCAGAGCTTAGGGAACACAGGATTTGATGACGTTGACGTGTATGGGTTCCACACTTCAGTCACCAACTGCGAATGATTTTAATCCAAGTATTAAAAATGATCCATATTTGTTTGAGCCTCTAAAAATCAGTAAACCTTGTATGAAAGCTGAAAGTCTGGAGTTCAGTCATTCCGATTGATTTAAATACACTACAAAAGTTGTCTTTGTTCAACAAATTATGGACCTAACTGTATTTATAATATGCCATCTGCCGCTCTAGATTTGCCTCAGCTCACAATTTATAACCATAAACTAATGCCTGCTGTATGTGTGGTCTGTGTTCATCTGTACAACTGCAGTAATGAAAGACTGAAAGCTCCTGGTCCCCAATATTTACTAGCATGTCTAATCTTTGTTATTAATTTTAAACTTCAGCTGTTAATATTACCAGCGTGACAAAAATAGTTATAATCAACAATCAGATGTGAAAAGGTTACTGATGAAATCTCCTTAAAATCATCCATAATCTGAGAAGAGGAATGAACACAATGGCACATTAAAATCAAACATTTATTGTTCATTCATGTTACAAGGAAAAAAAAACAAAACACCAGTATCTTTACTAAAATATATTAATAGATCTGAGCTTATAAAGACATTTCATACAGAGGAAAGAACAGAACCTGTAAGACCCTATAAGAAAAGGCTCCCAAGAGGCAGCAAGGACTTCAACACCTTGATATCATACAACTACTAAAACCTAAATCTGCATATTCAGCCTGAAAGAAGCATTTGATAATTAAGGACACCTACAGCCAGTATGTGTGTGCAAGCACTATAGCATCTATTTGACATAATATCCAGGTTCTCTGCTAGTAAAGGGGTATTTAAAGAGATGAGTGTAGCTATAAATACTTTGCACACTCCTATACAGACTGTATGTCTCTACAGGTATCATTCAGTGCACTGGTACAGCACTATTCAAGGCCTCTGAGACAATCTTGTATTCTTGAGAAAGAAAGCAGTTTTACACAGGACATGAATGGCGTCCATCGTGAAGGCGAAGCTTGGAGGTATGTTAAATTTGTGAAACGTGGATGCAAGTGATTCCCCCAGTTTTCTTTAAAACCCACCACACCACAAATATCATAGTGTACGCTGAGAAAACTGATGTGCTCTGTGACAAACATCCAAAACAGCGAAAAAAAAAAAACAAAAAAAAAAAACCCCAAAACTGAAAAGAAGATGATCAAATCTAACAATCCTACAAGTTCAAGATATGCTGTCGATTTGTGGTCAGTGATGAGGTTTGCATTTTAAAAAGCAGGAGTAGTGTTTAATGGTTTAAAATTATATAGAGAAGAAAAAAAATACTTTAAATACAACCAAAACTTTATCATTTACCTTTTGTTCTCGATGCCTAACAATAACATGAAAAGAAAATAATAATAATAATAATAATAAAAAAAAAACAACCAGACATCAAGCATCAAACATCAGGCTTCTGGTCCATTTTGGCAAAAAAAGGAAAGACAAATAAAAGCAGGACACGGAGACAATAGAAGCAGGATTAGAGGATTGTCAGCATGCAACTTAAAGGAAGTGCAGGTTCACAAAAAGGCTGTCTTCCTCCTCTTCAGTCCAACCATCCTGTCAGTGCTTCTCATTCTTCTGCTCAGGCATTTATTTAAACTGCACCAAAGAGGAAAAAAAAAAAAGAAAAAAAGTTGATATTCAGAAAAAAGCCACATTTTCATTTTCTAAATCCAGCAACACCAAGTGGATCACATTTGATGTGTGAGATTTTGAGCCCACTACATCAATTAGATTTTTTTTCCTGAAAAAGCTGATGTACATCAGACAATATACCGATCAGACACACACATTCCTACTGTGAGCAATAAATCTGCAAAAAAAAATGACAAATTAAAACTCACACTGTATGCAAATTGATTTTTGGGTGGGATGTTGGGTTTCTGGGCCAGCGGAGGCTTCTTCATGAGACTGGGCTTTAAGGGTTTTGGTGACATGGTGACAGGATTGACCAGCGAGGAGGTTTCACCGTTCCCCTCGGAAAGCTGGTCCAGAGGAACTCCGGCTATCTCGTAGTGCTTCTTCCTGAGCTCGCCCAAGCGCAGACGCTCATTGTCTAGCATGCTCTCCAATTCTAACACTTTCACCTGAGGAGAGGGGGAAAAAATTAAGTGAGGTTTTTGTTCCTGCATCCACCACATTAGACCAGCAGAATTACATAAGCTGTACAGCAAAATACAGATTGAATCTCACTAAACTCGATATGAACAATTCACAGAAATTTGCTGAATGTGAGATTTCCACAGCCTCACAGTCAGTAAACATCAGGCAGGCATGCTTCAGTATGCCCCGTGACTAACCTGTGACTCCATTTCTTCTTTTTTCAGCTTGATTAGCGACATCCCAGAGAAGTCCATTGTATCTGCAAATAAAAGGTGGGTGAAAGAGCCATATTAGATGCTCATCAGAGTTCATGACGGTCGGTTGCACACATCAGACTCCACTCACCTTTGTCCTCCAGGTGCTCCTGGCCAGTCTTTGTCGAGGCCACCACGTTAGCTGCCATTTCGTTCACGTGGCGAGAAGCCTGCTGGAGTTTTGTCAGCTTCTTGCTGTGGCGATCTGCCTTAACCTGAGAGCACAGGAGAGTGTGGCATGAGACAAGATTACACTATTCAAACTCTAAAGCCACAAAAGTCAGTATTTTTAATCCATCCATTTTCTAACACTTATCAGGGTGCAGGTTGTGCCATCTACACCTGCCACCTCCAACAGCTTCTCGAGAGGGACACCACGGTGTTCCCAAACCAGCTGAGATGCGCAATCTTTCCATTACTAAAAATAAATAAAATTAACTTCCCACCCAGGACAGGTTTACTTTTACCATTTCCCCATGCTGGAGTAGGGCACTATGGTCCACCCTTAGCCCACAGGGCCCACCTTTCCAACACCTGTAGGAGGTGCTGCTGCATCTCCTGAGAGGAACTTTTTGATTTTAGAAACAAGAACCCAGGCCTGCAATAAAATAATCTGCCAGATTCATTGTGTTTAACATAAATTAGCCCCAGTTCTAGCAACTGTTCAATGTGTGGTCAATAAGGCCACTGAAGGAATAAACAGGGGCCCTAATATAAAATCTTTAACCTTTGTGTACATCTTACCTTTGAAGCCGCCACCAGCTGCGCCGTGCTTGCAGCAATCTCATGAGAGCAGACGATCAGCTCCTCATATTTTCCCGTGTGCAGAACCACCTTATCAGCAGACTCTCTGTGAGAAATCAGGCAAACACGCGACATTAATGCTTCAGCCTATGACAGGCTACACTTCCTGTTAAAAGGTCGTAAATGGAGACTCAGAACAGCTGTGGATGCAGTTCCTGTTGCTCAAACGGTGCAGACCATTTGCTTGAAATAAGAATCATCATTCATTTCAGATGCAAAGAAATTCAATGAGAACTTACACCATCTCCGTGGCTCCCCATCCCACCGCCTTGGCAGCAGAAATGAGTCCCTCTGTCCAGCGAGAGTTTTTGGCATAGAACTCCCTAATGGTGGCTGCGCCCTTTACAAGAAAAACACCAGCACAGTTAGCCGATATTTCTGAATGGAACAGAGCGGCCCACTCTGATTTCAGAAACACAAAACAAGCTGCCACTTTTGGATTCAAAGCGAGAACAGTGTGACTCACCCGCCCACCCTCGACAATCTCCTTCTGCAAGTCGGTGGATGCTATGACCAGCATGCGGATGGCCTGGGGGAGGCGGAGGATAAAAGCACAGAATAAGACTAAAGAAAGCTAAAGGTTTAGTTGACTGGATTATTCAAAAAACAGAAGTGTAGTACATATGCTAATGAAAGAAACTAAAGTACAGTACCTTCATCAGGTCTGTGCAGCTGAAGAGGATCCTGTAAGAAAGTGCGGGGTGGGGGGTACAGAGTTAAATTGCTTTGGTCTTTAATAAACATGGTGATACTAATAAGAAAAAAATATGATCTGCAGAAATCTTATAAGATTGTGTTTAATGAAAAGAAAAAAGAAAAAAAAAAAACAGGGATAAACAAACCTTTCATTGACTTCCAGTTTAACTCCTGTGGTGTCTTTTCGTGCCTGACTCATCATTTCCTAAATGTACAGGGGAAAAAAAAGGTAATCTCTTAAAATTAATACACTGCAGAGTACAAGTCTGTTCTTCACAGATAACATTAACATCTTCAAGTTAGAGTACTTACGTCGATCCTGCGGACTGCCTCCTCAATAGCTGCAGATGTTGCAGCCATCTCCTTGTCGACCAGGTCTCCCAGCTCCTCCTGACGAACGTCCAAGCCCTTTGGCCGCAGCTCCTGGATGGTACAAGCAGAAGCGTTTGGGGAAACGTCAATAAGACCAGAAATTATTTTGTTTAAACCTACACTGGTAAAAACTGGAGCCTGAAGTAGAGCTCAGTGGTAACGTGTATGGTTGGTTACATTGCTAATAAGGAGTATAATTCAAGAACTGACTCTTTAAGAAGGCTCATGTCACAAATAAACCCCCCAAAATATTATGTATTATATGATTATACTGCAGACTGGACTTAAATAATCATAAAAAATGTTTAAAATCTTTCAGATTGAAGCTGGCTGGTTGACATTCTTGTGGAAGTCTGTTTTTTAGATTGTTAAATAGTTCATGTGTCAGTAATCCACCTGGTTTTCTACATTCACTCTTAGGACATCCTTACCACTTCCTGTTTTTAACCTCAAACATGAAGATGGATCATTTAACAGTGTAAACATTGTAAAGTGGCCTTATCCTCTGGCTTATAGGAATGATGCAATATGATAGCAGACTGACATTGTTGTACAATATTAGGGCAAAGCAGTAATATTTTTCTAAATGTCCGCAGTTGTGCCCACAAGCAGCACGCTGTATGGCAGCTTGCCATGTTGTTCATATCTCAGATGGTGAACCAAAAGGCTCTTCAGGCTCAGTTAAATAGTTCCTGAAAGCTTTTGAGTACATCCTTGCCATTAAATGTGTTTTCCCTCACCTGACCCAGGTGTAGGATCTTCTGTATGATTATGCAAATGGTGGCTGGGTCTGCCTTCTGTAGCGTGGCCTTGGACTTCATCTCCCCCAAAAACAGCAGACTCTGAGTGCCACAGCTTCGGCAGTTCTCCGTCAGTTCTGCGGGGCGTCGAAGATTAATCATCAGTCATACTTCTGCATCATTTATGCACCGAGTAACTCAATTCTAACATGTACTTAAAGACTAAAGGCTTGCATCTCAGCATATGGTGTGGACAATAAACACATTTTTTTTTTTTAAAGTACAAAGTTAAGAAAATAGCCAAGAAAATATTCCTTACTGTCGGCATGGTCAGTGGGTGCCATGTGTGCAGTAGCGCTGCCGTTAACAATTGTGTCCGCGGTTAAGTGAGAGAACTGGGTCAGAGATCTCAGCAGCGTGCCAGCATCTGGTTACAAGATCAGACAGTGAGAGGGCAGCAGGCCATATCAGCGAGGATTACCGAGCAGCCACGAGGTCAGCGGGACCGAGCCAAATCGGAAGCAGAGAGAACTCACCGCTCATGTTTCTCAGATAATCTGCATGGCCCTTTTTCACTTTGTCGATGGAGCCAAGTGCAGCCTCTGCCCGACTTATGAGGTAATCTGTTTGGAGGACAGCAAAAGATTAGAGGCCGCTCAATCTCTGCAACAGACATATCAATATTTATGCATGTGGTCAGCAAGCTAGGGACACGCTCTCTGCCGTTTTAATTTTTGAGCACAGGAATCGGACCTGGAGAGCTGGTGCAGCGTATATGGAGGGGGTCATCCAGCTTGGCAATAGCATCTTGGATGATGGTCTCAGCTTCTGTTATAGTTCCCTGCAGCAGGGCAAACTGCTCCTCCAGAAGCTTCTGCTTCATCATCTCCTCCTGACTTGTCTACATTTACACACACACACACACACACACACACACACACACACACACGTTTATGGCACTATTAAAATATACAAAGCATGCTGTTGGAGAGCTAGATGTAAATGTCTGTGTACAGCCACAGTGTTTTAGTTACCTTCAAAAATGATAGTTCAAAAAGGCAGCAGATGTCATCTTTATTACATCAGGATTTCTTTATATTCACATTTAGTTTAGCATCTTTTTCATTGCTTTAACCTTGTGTTGACTTTATCGCACATTTACTTTACTCACTATGTCTGGTCCAATTATTGTCTCTCTGCTGTAATTTATCTTCTGAGCATCAGCCTATAGCTCGTCTGTCAACGTACTTTTGCAATATTCATACTCTTGTTACATCTAAGGACTAGAGACCAGGTGGCAATCTGTGCTCAAAAATGGAAAAATAAATGTTCCCAAACTGTCTGAGGAGTGGTTGTTGGAGGTTTCTGGCTATTGCTAGGTGAATTTAGTCTGTCACATTGCTGCTTTAATGTGGTTGCCACTGTTGCAGCAGTAATAGGGAAAAAGTAAAAACCTTTACTGCGGTAGAATGAGATAATTAGATGGTCAAACTTTTATCCAACAGCTTATAAGGCATGATGTGTTAAAATTCTGTAACTGTATAGAAAACCAAGGGTATTTGGAAACCTCAGATCTCCAGGTGTGCAGGTGTAAATGTAACCATATAGTACAAATACAATGGACTAACTGCTGCATTTCTGGGACATTTATTTATGATCCGGGTTGCTTTGGCAAACAGGTTTAAAATAGCACTCTGCAGAGACCGCTGAGCTTGGCTCTTGTGTCCTGACTGACCTTCTCCTTCAGTTTTCCCTGCAGCTCTCCCAGCTCCCTGCTGGTCTTATCTCGCTCCTGCTGAAGCGACGACTGCTGCAGCTGCGCAGTCTGCCGCAGTGATGACAGTTCAGCCTCCTTCTCGCTCACAGACCGCATCAGACGCTCCTTTTCCGTCTGCAGAGCCGTCATCGAGCTGTTAATTTGCTCCGACGTCTGGCAAAAGAGAGAGCAGTGAGCGGAGCCCGGACAGGCAGATGGCTGCAAATGTCGGAGGAAAAGTCCAGGCGGTAACGTGCAGCACGCCTCCAGCCTCCAGACAGAACTGACGACTAAATCGAGATGAGTTAGCTAGACGCCATGAAGGTTCCCGCATGCTCACCTTCTCGCTGCTCTGCAGGGTCGCCTTGATACGGGTCACTTCTGCCATCTTCTCCTCCAGCTCTCTCTTCACCCTCTCCACCTCAAACCTCTGCTCTTCCATCTACAGTGATGGAAAACAGCATTAATCTTCTATACACGTAACTTGGGCCAACCTTTGTGTCTCTTTTCTGCACTGGGGGAGGAGAGATTTCATTTTAGGCCTGCTTCCAGAACAGAATGACCGTGCATTAGAAGTTAGTGAAGGTTATTTCTGCCTGTACAACTTACTGGGGCTTGCCCCCCCAAAACAAAACAAAAAACAGAACCGATTCTAAGGGTCATCTAACCACATCTTTATTGATATATATACTGAGGTGTTAAAACTCCTCAACATGGGAGGTCATCTTGATGGGGAAAAGAGCAAAAACACCATCAACCTTCATGTCAGCTTCCTGCTTTATTCGATCCATCTCGAAGGTCAGCTGCTGTTTGGTTCTCTCCACTTCCTCCTGGGTCTGCTGGGTTACTGACAGCATCTTCACAGTGTCTGCACTCTGTCAGCACATTAACACACTTGATGTTACAACCCACAGCCAGATGCCGACATCTAATTTAAAGCCAACAGCTCTGGACTGGTCTGCGGTCTGCGTATACCTTCCGAAGCAGCTCAGCATGGCTGCCCACCAGCTCTGTGTGCTTCTCCTTCAGCTTATTGTACCGCTGTTCAGTGGCTTGTGCCCTTTCTGCGCAGACAAGACCAAGGAGAAAGATTTTTATTTTTTTTTACATTTTCATTGATGATAACAGTCTCTCTGTAAGAGAGTATTAACTGTGACTCTTACTTTCAGCCTCGACGAAGGTGGTCTGTAAGCTCTCGTGTTCAGTGTTGCGGCGGCGGGTCGCTTCGAGCTCCATGCGCAGCTGTTCATTTTCCACAAGGGCTCGTTGTTTCTGCGCACGCTGTTCTTCCAGCTCTGCCTCCAAACTGTTGATCTGGGATTTGAGCTGCGTGATGTAACGCTGAGCCTACAGGAGGAAAAAGAGACATGAGCATGTTTATATTTAAAAAAAAAAAAAAAAAAAAGTCTCAATGCCTATTATATGTGAGAATCTTTATTTATTCCATGGCATGCATTTATATCAGTTTGGGCCAGCTAATCTCCTCTTTCAGACATTTTGCATGAAAGCTGAAATTGTGCCTGCAATGTCAGTCATCTCATTCAGAAGCTACTTGCCACATTCTACATGTCAGAAGTATTCACATCCTCCCAACACATGACCCAGATTCTTTTGCACAGAGCTAACCAAGCCCTGCACTGTCAAATGCAGACACACACACACACACAAAACTGTCTAAGTCCATGCAACAGGCCATTCACTCTCAACAGCTCTTACCTCGGCTTTCACCCTCTCCAGCTCTGCTCTCAACAGCTCGAGTTCCCGCTTAAGGGTCTCAATCTGGAGGTCCCTGCCAGAGAGAAAAGAGTCACATTCAAAGAAACTCCCGACACCATTGAAACAATGAAGGCTCGCAGTTAAAAACAGGCTAGCTCACCTGTCATCAAAGCCTCCATTTGGAGGGCCGAAGGTTTGATCAAATATGTCCACTTGCTGAAAGCGGGAATCAGTAAATGTAACAGACAGCTCACACAGCAGTATGGTAACACCTGAGTACTTGAGTGGGTGTAGCATGCCGTACCTGCGGCTGAGCCTGTACGCTGGAGGTCGTGACGTTGTCGACCTCGATGAGCGGCTCCGGCTCGTCATCGTCGTCATCCTGCATCTCCGGTTCATCCTCATTGGGGATGACCACCACTGGCTTCACGTGTTTCGCCAGTGAGGCTGCATGCAGGAAGTTAGGCGGGGACTAAGAATAGAAGACATTAAATGTTATGTACAGATTTCTGCAAATTTCAGACTGCAGATGTCAGTAGGGGGTCTGTGATGAAGATGTTGATGCCCCAAAATGGAAGCGGTCACTATCATCATCCTGCCTCCCCTCTTCCCCCTGTGCTCTTACTTCAGGCAGCTTGGGGATCTGGATGAGTCTCTTGAAGTAGATCATCTCTTTGGCTCTATTGAAGAAGTTCTTAAGCCTGGAGGACAAAAGAAAA